AAACCATTCAATAAAGATTCAGCACTATTTTTTTGTAGTGAAAAAGCAGACTCTCATTTGGGCCTTGTGTTGAATCTTGACTGGTTTCAACTATTTGATAGTACATCACATAGCACTGGTGTGATATATGTATCTATTGCAAATTTGCCATGTGATATTTGATTTAAGCATAAAAATATGTTAATTTTAGGCATATTACCTAGGCCAGATGAAGTGAGTTTGCATAAAATTAACCATTATTTCTTCCTGGTTGTTAATAAATTAGAGTCTTTTTGGTATAGTATAGAATTAGATTCAACTATCAAGAGTTCTGAAGAAAAAGTTATCTGTGCAGCATTAATATTAGTTTCATGTGATATTCTGGCTGCCCGAAAGTTGTGTAGGTATATTTCAGCATTAGTGTCATATCATCATTATGAAAAAAATGCTAATTATGTAGGTAAACAATTTAACTTCGGTGGCATGCAAAATATAAATGAGTGGTTTGTAGAAAGATTCGACGATACATCAGCAAATTGCACTTGAGTGGAGAAGTTGTAATTCTGATACAGAAAGAAAGTGTTTTGTTAAAAAACATAAAGTTCAATAGTCTGAATTACTTCGTCTAAATTATTTTGATCCAATTCATTATGTAATTGTTGACCCAATGCATTGCATTTTCCTGTGTATTTCTAAGTGGCTTGCTAAGCAAATATGAATTGATGAAAGTGTATTAACGTTGAATATGCTCACGAAAGTATAACACATGATGAATAAGTTCCAAGTACTGTTAGATATCAGCAGAATTCTGGGTAAAGTGAATTGTGGAGAGGGGTTCTTAAATTTTACTGCCGATCAGTGGCAAAATTTTTTTACTATTTATGCTACTGTTGTTTTTTGAGAACATCTTTCGAGTGAAAATCAGCAAATTTTAACAAATTTTGTTAATATTAGTATGCCAAATTATAAGGCAGGACCTTATGAATGAGGCTCATAAAAGGTTAATTAAGTTAATAAAATTAATAAAGAGTAAATACGGGGCTGGAAAAATTACACCAAATCTTCATCTTTCATTGCATTTATGTGAATGTGCACAGGATTATGGGCCATTATACTCTTTTTGGTATTTTTCATTCAAAAGAATGAATGGAATTTTAGGGTCTTTTCCAAATAGTCATCGAAAAATAAAGTCTGAACTTATGTGAAGACTAATAAATAATAGCCAAATTATCAGTTTGACTGTCTTCATATCTGAAATTGAGAGTGTAGAGTTACTAAAAAATCGATCTTCCGTCGGGTCTCTTTTAGAAACTGATAATTTTTCTTCCGATAAACTGCGTCAATTTTTATTGAATATATATAATGTTAAAGAATCAAGTATTACTGGTTCTGAACGATTTCCTGGTAAGTTCTTACCACCACAAAAAGAATATTTAATAATTTCAGACGAATTATTAAATTTGCTTGTAGAATATTATACAGCAACTTATGTAACAATGAACTTTAGAAAACCTTTTACTGATGATTTTGAAGGTGCTATTATTGTTCTAAATAGGGCAGACAAATATAAAAGATGCCGAATAGGTTCCAAAATATTTAGTTCTGATATGTCTTCTCGCCATGTAAAAAGTTCATTTGTTTTGGCTCGGTTTGTAAATTATAACAGAAGTGTCGATTTGTACCCTGGACAAGTCCAGTATTTTTTTAATCATATTATGAATCTACTGAATGGACTTGTAGAACATAAATTGGCATATATTAGGTGGTACAAACCTGTAAATTCGGCTGCAACTCGTTTCTATTTTAGTGCTGATGAAACTTGTAATGTTGAACTTTGGAACCCTGAATTCTATCCAATTCAGCGTGAATGCATTATTCCTGTTTATAATATTTTTAGTCAGTTTATACCATACAAGTATAAAATTTCAAATCAGCAAAATTCTTATGAATATTTGGCTGTAATTCCTATAAATAGAAATTTTAATATTTAAACTGACATCTAATATGTATGTATGTAGGAAAAATTATTAATGCATAACATTTGTTGCACGATTTACTTTTTACTATATATATAATATATATTATTCTAATGCATAGAGTTTGGAACCAGATTTTATTTTTAAATCCAGGTTTATATTAATTAATTATTTTCTGCTTTGCATTTAAATCTGAATTATTAAGTTGAAATTCTAATTTATTCCAACAATTATATTTAAAAAAATAACATTCAGTAATAAAACATTCGACTACTTAAGTACAATTACATTTAAAAAAAATAACATTTTAAATCTGGGTTTACATTAATTAATTATTTTCTGCTTCGCATTTAAATCTGAATTATTAAGTTAAAATCCAAATTTATTCCAACAATTACATTCAAAAAAATAATATTCAGTGATAAAATATTCAACTACTTAGAGACAATTATATTTAAAAAAATAACATTCAGTAATAAAACATTTGACTACTTAAGGATATGTAAAAACTATTTTAGGTAGTCAAATACTTTTCCAAACTCTATTATGTTAAACCAGTTTTAATCAATTTTAATATGAAAATAAAACCAGGCTCCAAATTCTGCCTAAGTTTAATAATAAATTATAACGATTGTAATAAGTTTTATGCTGATTTGGTTATATATATAATTTGTACATAAATCGGTAATTATATTAAAATCCAAACCACAGATTTCAGCATATGCCGATTTGTATACAATTTAAGGTGTACAATGCCGATTTGCTTATAAAATTAGTAGTGCTGAATTTTCTTATTTCGACTAGTGGTAAGTAATAAACTCTGGGCTTGTTAGCAAATAGCATATGAGAACTATTTCTAAATAACAAGTGCTTGGCCCCCGCAATGAGTGATAAACTCTGAGGAAGTAGCAGGTAGTGTATGAGAACTATCTTTAAATAACAACTGCTAAGTTACAGAGCTTAAGAACTACTTCCCAGACTGTTTCTATTTTTACAGACACTTGTATTTTTTAAAAATTTTGGATTTTTGTGGAAAAAAGTGATCATCAGAAAGAGTTTCTGAACTCTTTAAATATTGATTTTAAAAATATAGTTTTTAATACAATATTGTAGTTTATATATAAAATGACAACTTAATTCAAAAAAAAGAACTCTTTCTAATGATTACTTGAACTACATTTTCTGAAAAACATTTTACTGCAAAAAGAGACCTTACAAGCCGGCACTACAAGCCGGCACTTAATATACTAGACAATAAGTTAGCACCTGTCATTTAGAAGTAGTTCTTATACACTACTTGCTGACAGGCTTAGAGTTTATCACTCACTGCATAGTCTTGGCACTTGTCATTTAGAGGTAGTTCTTATACGCTACCTGCTAACAAGCCTAGAGTTTATCACTTACCAAAAAAATGTTAAGCAGGTGTTGAGTGGTGGGTTTTAACTATAGAAAAAAAAACTCATACTCCTTTAAATTGGTTTGAAGCTTAAGTGGTCCCTCTTTACCTCTTGTTGTTTTTCTATCAGTCTTCAAAATTTTTCCATAAAAAGTAGGAATTTGGCTTACTCCCTCCAAAAGATTAGCATTATTTACTTACCAAATCCAGATAGACTAGTAGATAGCAACCATGTATTTGGAGACGAATATGTTGCATGGGTACTAAAATGAGTTCCGGTCAAAAAAGGAATCTCTGGTGGTGGCATCAAGTAGCTTGAGACATGTGTACTTAAGTGATGATACCTTTATTAAAATATTGTAATCTTTGTTGTCATTGGCACTATATATGGAGAGTCAGATCCTAGTATAGCAGCAGCACTTGATTTGAGATAAGGACTAGGTTATTAAAAAAATTCAGAAATGGGTTGAAGGGAATTTTAATGTTAAGTTTAGTCTTACAACAAAGATATACAAATGTTGCATCTGGTATATAATTTTTAAATCACCTGGCACAGGTTATAATAGTGTATCAGATTGCTTAATTTTTTCTTTTTTCTGCTTGTTTTATCTATTTTCATTTATATTAGAATCGGTTTAGGTTTCTTGTTCCTTTTCTTCTTGCTGTTTTATTTTCTCTTTTGAGTTTATTTTCTTTTTTAGAACAATTTCTATTTTTTTCAGTTATAAGGGAGCTTTTAGAGATTTTCTTTAAATGTATCTTCCTTCATAATGTTGGCATATATGTTAGTCTTATGTAGAAGTAGAAGGTAATATATATAATCTGCTAAGATTTAAGTGGATTAAGTTTGGAAAGATATTGTAACAGAGTGGTATTTTCACGTATAACATCGCGGTGGTCACGTGATCCCATATACTACATACGGCCACTATTGTTATTTTTCTTAGTATAGATTTTTCTTTATTTATTTATTTAGTTATTTGCTATTTATTATTTTCATTATGTATAAATTTGTTATGCACAAATTCATTACATATACGATTGTTACGCATAAATTGTTATATATAAAATCGTTTTGCATAACAGGGCCAGTAAACAGTTTAAGGATTTATTTAGAATAGTTAGTTAGTCATAAAAGAATTATAAAAGAGATGTAAATTGGTCTTTTGAAGAGACATAATCCACTATCATGTCCTAAAAACTATCAAAATAAAAGCCTCTTCGTCTTGAATCTCTTTTAACAAAGATCTAACCCAACCCAAAACCGAATATTTTGGTTACATTTGGTGACAACGACAAGACCAGGTCGCCTATTTGAAGAAATTCAACCCGAAAATGTCTCTGTTTTATAATAAAGTTAATGTCCCAATTGTGCAAGTCCTACCTGTCCCCTATTCGTACCCAAATTATTACATTCACGCTACTATATGTAGTGATTTCACGTTCTATAATTCATACTAATGACCGTCCTTTCGTATCAATGCTCCTCCTATATATGCGTCTACATTCTATGCTTCGCCTTATCTATAATGCCCTGCCTCAAAAAGTCGTAGAATGAATACATTAAGAAAAAGACAAAAACAAAAACAAAGACGTATACTGTAAAAAGAATACAACACTTGTAAAAGATTCTGCACCTTATAGTCACTTCAACGTGGTCCTACAGCATTAAATTCGTTATACTATATTATTTCGCCACCCGATTTAGTTTTCATTTCTGAGGAAGACTAAAGACTCTTTATACTCATGAGAGAAGAATTATTAATTCGAGTAACTAAGCTAACTCGAAAAAAGATAAAAAAAAAAAAAAAAACAAACAAAGCTATATTGCGAAAAAGGATACACCGATGCTATAGATACCTCAACTTCGTATAGCTCTAGAGTAAAGTAATGTCCCAGGCTTTATGTCCGATTCCACATGCATATTCTAGTCAAGTCCCAAAAAAGAGAAGTTTCAAAGTTAGTATAGGCATTTTTCTGAAAAGAGCTAACCAATAAAGAAAAACGACGAAGAAATCTTCACTTGGAGTCCAAGAATAGAAATCTCGAAATGAAAATCTCGAATTCCAAAAGCAAGTTGAAACCGGACAAATAGATCTAACAATGGAACAAGCAGAAAAAAGACAAAATTAAGCAATCCAAATACACTATTATAACCTGTGCTAGGTGATTTAAAAATTATATACCAGATGCAATATCTGTATATCTCTGTTGTAAGTCTAAGCTTAACTTTAAAATTTCTCCGACCCAATTCCGAATCTTTTAATAACCTAGACTGTATCTTAAACCAAGTGCTGCTGCAGTACTAGGATCTGACTTTCCATATATAGCACCAACAACGACAAGGATGCGACATTTCCATAAAGGCACCATTACTTGGGTACTCGTATCTCAAGCCACTTGGTGCTGCCACCAGGAATTCCTTTTTTGACTAGAACTCGTTCTAGGGCCCATACAATGTATTCGTCTCCAAACATGTGGTTGCTATCTACTAGTCTATCCAGATTTGGTAAGTAAACAATGCTGATCTTTTGGAGGGGGTAAGCCAAATTCCCCACTTTTTATGAAAAATTTTTGGAGACCAACAGAAAAACGACGAGAGGTAAAGAGGGACCACTTGAGCTTCAAACCAATTTAAAGAAGTGTGAGTTTTCTTTTCTATAGTCAAGACCCACTGCCCAACACCTGCTCAACCTTTTTTCGGTGAGTAATAAACTCTAAACTTGTTGGCAGGTAGCATATAAGAACTACCTCTAAACGACAAGTGCCGAGACTATGCAGTAAGTGATAAACTCTAAGCCTGTCAGCAAATAGCATATAAGAACTACTTCTAAACGACAGATGCTGTCTTACTGTCTAGGTTTTTAGATCAAGTACCGGCTTGTAAGGTCTTTTCTTGCAGTAAAATCTTTTTCGAAAAATATGGTTTAAGTGATCATTGAAAAGAGTTCCGGCATAGTTTTTAACATTATTTTGAAAAAAATTATTATTACTTACTGTTGTTGGGTTTTATTATTCACTTTATCCATAAGTACCTCAATTAATACTTCATTATTTAATTTTAATTTTAGTATCATATTATCTAAAATGCTTTATAAATTCAACCTTACTTTTTTACTTACTCGCATGTGTGTTTGTTATTAGTTTTGATTTTAATTTTTTTATTAACTCATACTTATTTTCTTTCTCATCAATTTTAATATATCTTAGATATAATTGCTTTATTAGACTTTCCTTTGATAATCGATCTGGGTATATATCTGTAATATACAGTATATATATTAGTATTAGCTACGTTTTAATATAAAGTTATTGTGCAAACTCTTATGATCATAGATTTTTTTCTTCTTGTTATTTTTTGTATGTTATTACATTAGCACAACAATCTCGAATTAAAACTCAGTTAGTCAAAATGACTTGAAAATCATGATCATAATTGCACAATAACATCGATATTGGATTATGCAATAATAAATATCATAAAATTTGTTCTGTCAGAGCAAATAATTGGCTGAAATGTGCCACTGTGCAGCACATGTCAGCTAACCATTTGCTCCAACAAACCAAATTTCATAATATTAATTGTGCATGACCAATATCTTATACTTAGAACATATATACGTGCAGGATTTGGTGTTGGTATATACCAATTTGAAATTGGTATTGTTGGGATTGAATTATATGAAGTGGGTTTATTTATTTCATGTTTTTGCAACTTTTCTAATTGTGTTTGAGTAAATATTGTCCAATCACCAATATTCGGAATAGACCATGCTAGTATACAACCTTCCAAATCTCCATCAATTGGCCATTGCCATTTGAACCAATTTGAATTTCTAGGTAGCATATTACAGTACTTCCAGTTCCTATAATAGTAATTTTTTTTTTATAGCAATATACTATGTAATTTAATTTTACTATATTGACTATGTATAGTATTACCTCTATTACGATTAGGTTATAAATATAATACAGAAGTTCCTTGAATTCTCTGAATTGCATTTTCAATATCTTGGCCAGTTTCTATATCGAATCCAAGTCGAACATATTTTTTAATAGCATATGAAATCTAAAATTTTTAAATATTAGTTTGTTATAAAAGGGTACTACTTAGAGTAGTAAATAATTTATTGTCATATTATATTTTTATTATTTTGTACTCACATTGCCTCTTTTTTTTAACAACCTTATTAGTTTTTTAATTCAATTGCTGTAATTCTTGTAAATTAGTTCAGTTTTATAGTAGAAATTGGTTTTATAACATGATGTTAAACAACTTTACATTATAAAGATCTGTACTCTAACTCTAATGTAGTTACCAAATTGCTATTTTATTAGCAATAAATTATTTACTACTATGTGTAGTATCAAAATTTTTATATTGCAAAATAAAAAAAACCTGTGCATGATAAGAATCAATTATAGTTTTGTCTCACCTGCTTCAAAAAATATCTATTTTTACTTTTATGTTATACCATTCATATCAAAAACTTAATATCATTATTAAATCGGTATTGTGATAATGCTTATCATTATCAGACATTATAATGATTGATTTTGGTTTTTGATCAAGATTTTTGATTACTACATGTAGCGAAGAGGCGGTAAACCAAAAATCTTATCTAGTGTCTGTAGCTCAGTAATCAAATGCTTAAATTTGAAAAGTATTTGAATCTAATTGCTGTCTATATACTAAAACAGAATGTAGGAACTATTCTTTCTTTTCAAACCAGTCATTTTTGGTTTCACATGCAGTTTTAGGCAAGATTTTTATTTTATAATCAACTAAAACCAATGCCATATCATCATCTAAATCTAATAAATTGGCATTAAATTGTACATTTAAGTAGACCTTTCTTGTTTAATGAGCAAGATAATATATCAAATGTTCTTTCAAATTATTAAGCTCTTCATGATATATAGCAGCCATGCTATCTTTAATTTTTTGAAAATAATTGAAAAACTCTTGACATTGATTATATATTTGCGTATGATATTTAGTACATTGACCAAATACATAAAGCAAGCAATGGTTGATATATATATTGTAAGAGGTAGTTTTATTTGTTGCAATATTAAAATGTTCTTCATAATTATGTTTTAAAAATCTCTTTAGATTATTTGTCACAGTTATTAATTGTTTCTAATATACAAAAAACAAATTATGTAAGTATTAATAATTATACCCAAAAAATTAAAATTAGATAATATCTTTTCTAAAGACTGTATTACATATTTATCAATAAACTCAGCAAGATCAGAAAAGATCTCATATCTGTACTGTTGACAAGTATGACATAATCCTTCTAAATCCTCATGATAAGTATATTTATTGCTTTCTAGTTTCTTGAAAAAACTTGCACACTTAATTCCATCGGAGTATTGTTCATGAAATTTTTCCCAAAGAGTTTTTTTAGTATATTTTAAATAATGTACAGGTTCATTTGTTGCAGTATTAGTTTTATACGAACTCATAACAATATTTGCTTTATCCATTAAAAATGCATCCAAAGCCTGTTGTTTTTCAGCTAAAATTTTTTGACATGTAATAATTAGCTTATTTAATACTACACATCTAGGGCCATGAAGTCGAGCATGCTTACGTGCATAACGAATTGTATTATTGGATACCTATTAGCAAATATATTTTATATAATAATTAGCAATTAGGATTATAAATTTATACTAAAAATACTTTCAAACCAATTTATATAATTGGCAATTAAGATATTATTTAAGTATCGAATTAAGTAAAGGCAAATTTTAAAATTTGTCAAAATTATAAAGTTTTATATATTAAAATGCTAAAACTAGTTTTAATATTTTGATACACTAAAGTTTTATAATTTTGCCAAGTAACTTTATATCAGTTATTGAAAAATAATTACTTATATTTAAATTAGTAATAATATTATTGTAGTTAAAATTATCAGCAATAATGGAAAGTATTTGTGTTTTACCATTAAAGCCATACTTGTTTTTGTTTAATGTTTAATAAAAACATTTCCAGAAAGTTAAAGTATGATTTTTAAAATTAGATTTAAAAAACCCTGCTTATATAATAAGAGCTGTGACAGATATTACGTAATATCCTAGGGGAGGTATTAGCCGGATGTTTTACATTACATATATATATATATATATATATATTTTCTTTGATAACCTCGCACTAATTTATTAGAATATTATAATTTTTTAACAAAAAAATTAATCTATTTAAATACATATTAGGCAAAACCCGGCTGCTATCCCTTAAATTGTAACACAGGCAAATTTGCCTGTGAAGATTTTTACTAATTTTTTTAATATTTAAATTTTTTAA